AGAGTGAAACAAAAACGCTTTCATCTGTGAGCTGTCACACTGTCTGTGGAAAGTACAGTGAGGAATGGAGGCTGGTCGCCTTTCATCTCAGCACATCTGTGCGAGTCAGGAAGTGTGCCGGGGTCAGAGGTCAGGGGTGGTCCGCTCTGTTCCAGCTTCCTCCTGTAGGACGACGTCTATGCTCTTCCTGGTTTTTAGGGTCGTGTCTGCACTTTGACCTCTGATCCACAGTCGACCTGACGCAGCAGCAAACTAACGACTCGCCTGTCACATCATCGTGTCGACACCCCCACCCCCCCCCCAGCCCTTTGCCTTTCAACCAGCTCCAGTTCTGCCGGTTCTGGTGGGTTGTTCCTGCACCTCGGAGAACCTGCCTCAGTTCTTCAGGCTCTTCATGTGATCCAGACTGACCCAGGATGCTGAGACCAGGTCTCTGTGGGGACCAGACCACCTGCTGGAGGAGTCCTGGTTCTTCTGGTCTCTGAAGACAGTTCTTCTTGACTCTGGTTGTGTGTTTGGACTCGTCCTGCTGCAGGATGAATCTGGACCAATCAGACGCCTCCTGATGAGACTGACAATGGAGAAGAATCTAAACATCTAAAAGGCCTAAAACCTTTACGCGTCATGTGCATCATATCATGTATGAAGCCTAAAGCCCAAAGCTGACAGGTTCTAAAGTAACAAGTCAGCGTCCTCCACGTAGAACACACAGGAACACAGGAACAAGGAACACGTTAGGTAGCAAGCAGTATAAACATGTTTCACTTTTACATGAAGAAGACAAACTGATGACAAACACAAACATGGTTTTAATCTGCTGTGTTTATTCTGTTGCTAAATAAAGAACATTAAAACAATCCAGAGAAAAAAGGGAAAATGAAAGAAAGAAATAATAATGTAAGTCTTGTCAGACTAAACTGTGACAGAGCAGCTTCCTCACTGTGGAAGTTCCATCATGAATCCCACTAAAACGATCTGTGTATTTTATATTTGCAGTAGTGTGTTGTGTTAGCTGCCGGACTGGGGACGTAAATGAGCATTGTTTATTTTGTACTAATGTTCATTATCATCATTGTCCCGATCAAATACACAAATAAAATAAATAGAAAATAAAAAGTGGTATGCAGCTAATGGTAAGCTCCTGGTTCTTGGACGTGTCTGTCGAGCGTCTCTCTCTCTGCAGCTCCTGTTAGATGAGCAATAAAATACAATATAATCATTGTTAGAATTAATAGAATAAATTGATAATGAAATAAAGAAAAAAAAGCAATAAAATGATATACATATATGCATACACCTACACACATATACATATGCAAATATACGCATACATAATGTCACTAATCTCCTGATGTTTTCACCCCACCCCAGCTTCCCTGTGATCGCTCCCAGTTGCCATGGTGATGTAACAGGCGCCTGTGTAATTATGTATTTACAGTTTTGCTCGTGAGACGAAGTGACATTACAGCTGCACTGTGAATGATTCAGTCATTAGTCAGGTCAGCACAGAGTCACCGCTCAGAGGGCAGCAACGTGACCTTTAACCTCCAGGTGTGTGTGTGTGGAGCTGTGCAGTAGAACATATGAATAATATGAAGAGGGAACCTTCTCTGAGTGAATAGTGTGAGTAAAGAAATAAGAATGGGAGAGGAGCAGAGTATTTTTAGATCAGTGTTTTTTGGCGGTCGCTCACAGAGGAGCGTTTAAAGTGCAGCGCTTCGATTCCACCGGCCCGTTGAACTCCTCGCAAGACCGGAATCGGAGGAAAGCTTTTAGCCCTGCGTGGTTTCTGTGGTTTCACCGTTCACTTCCTGCTCAGAGGTTATTAAAGCCTGAAACAATAGAGGCGGTGGGACAGGAACAGCAGGCCGGAGGAATGTCATCACGCCTCTGGAGACTTCCTGAGGCTCCGACATCGAGACTCAGATCTGAGAGGAAGCCAATAAAGTCTGGATGCTCAGCATCCAAGAAGCACAGCGGAGTGTGTGTTGATACACAAACACTGAAACTATCTGCGTTACTGAGACTGATTTCTAACACACACTGACCTTCACTCACTCCCCACTAAATGTGTTTAATGATATTTTTAACTGTAGAATCTGTGCACACTTTAAAGATTGAATTGAACTGGGTGAGGTGCAGGTTTAGAGGCATGAGGATGGACACACACACACACACACACACACACACACACACACACACACAGAGGCAAAAATACAGTTACATGGTTAAAAATGTAATAATACCTGACGGTGAATCTAGGAGGGAAAAGATGAGTTTTGACTCCCCCCCCCCAAGAAACAAGAACCAGATCTAAAACTACAGAAGCGGATTAATCTGTAAGACAAAATGTATTAAATGAACAGAACCTAGGTTTGCAAAAATGATTCTTTATATCATTTTAAAAATACGAATGATTTAATCTCTTTACCAGTAAAACGCACAGACAGTTCATCTTTGTACAAACCATACTACTGATTTTTGGTTTCTATTCATTTCTGTCTGAAATAAAAATCTTAGTTGAGTAGTGCCATCCATCACACTAAACACAGCCTGCACCATATTAGAATGAACTATTTGGGGTGTTTTGCCTTTATTTGTTAATGGACAGTAGAAATGTGACACAGGGTTGGGAACAAAGGTTAATCCCTTGAGACAAAGACAAGCTCAAAGTCTTAACAATAATTTTGTTAAAACAGTTTAGTGTAATTAATTTCTACTGTAGCTGCAAAACATCAAATAGTGTTTTACTAAAAATTCAGTGAATGTGTCAAACTGAGAAAAATGTAAAAATACAGTCTGAATGAAGTCACCTGAATGTAACCTGAAAGGACAGCAGGAGGTTTGCGCATGCTCATTGAGATAAATTAGGATATTGCATTATACGCATGCGCAGACGATTGTGGGTACTAACTTCCGCGTTAACTGTTAAGAGACAGCAGTAGCATATAAATGAGCATATGATACTGATTTATTGTGAGATCTGCAGTAAGTTTGAGGCAGAATATTGTTTCAGAAGTTGCGCAGCTCCTTTCAGGAATAGATCGGTACGTAGGTTGGGTGCGTAGCGGGAGAGACAGAGATGCCGGCGACTGACGCAGAGAGTTAGCTAGCTAGTTAGCAGTATAGCTGTGGACGTACAGTGGGGTGTATGTTGATTTTAGGCTGTTTGTCAGTAAATAAATGTTACGACTCCTCAAGACCCAAGTTCCCGCGTCTCCCCTGAGCTTCCCAGCTCCAGTCCAGACAATGAGCCAGGAAAGATTAACAACACTGAGGCAGGTAAATGCAGGATTCTGGCCCCGCTTGTCTACCAGGAAAAGTCACCACACACTGAACTTTTTGGGTTATTTTTTTCTTTATTTGGAAATAAACAGTAGAAAAGGAGGTCCCATCTAAAATCCCTCGTGACCAAAACGCCCCAAGTCTGCGCTAATTTTTATTATAACTACTTCATCATCATAAGGTAACACAGTCTAGTTTAATTAATCTCCACTTAAACTGCAGTACCACAAGAATAACTGTGGAAACTAATCTTACATTTAAAATCACGGACAGATCATTTTTCAGTCAAAGCTCAAAGATTGTTTTTCAACTGAGAAAAATAAAAAATAGTCTGAAAAAAGCTCCTGAGTAACCTGAATGTTAGCCGAGTGCAACCTGAGTGTTAGTGGAATGTTAGCTGAATGTTAGCCGAGTGCAACCTGAGTGTTAGCTGAATATTAGCCGAGTGTTAGCTGAATGTTAGCTGAATATTAGCCGAGTGTTAGCTGAATGTTACCTGAATGTTAGCCGAGTGCAACCTGAGTGTTAGCTGAATATTAGCGGAATGTTAGCTGAATGTTAGCTTAGCGTTATGGATTTTTCTCAGCGTAACTACTGAGGTGAACAGCTGATGCTCTTAGAGAAGAACACAACACACACACTCGTCTGTGATAAATCCCATTGATCTCCCACCGACAGATGAGTCAGTGCGCCCAGCGGTGGTGGAGGTGGCAGCTGTCTGAGTCACCGTGGGTGGCTTGTATAGACCACAGTGCAGGGTCACCACCTCCACCTTATTGATTATTGTTTCCTCTTCTCACCTTACTGATACTGAAGCTTTCCCAAGCTCACTGAGGACTCATGTCACAGCAGAGGAATCAGAAAATTAAAGCAGCGACACAAATATTTGCTCCTGATTTGCTCTGATTGTAGACACGACAGCTTGAAAGCCGCCATACTGCTGCTCTGGGTTGAGGTGTGAGTGAGGAGTTTGCCAATCTGTCGGTTTAACAGGTTCAGAAAAAGGAAAACGGCTTGGTGGAAAGCTTCTCACAAGTTGAATTTATTCTTCACTCAGTCAGTCAGTCTTTTTTTTGCAGCTTTGTGTTTTAGGTGTCATGTAAAACGTCATGTTAGGAGAGTGACACTTTGTTTTTGTTGTGTCTTCTCTGTGCTCCACGTTAGATCTGCACTCACTCATTAAAGAGGTTACTCTTAGTTTTACCCAGACGTCAAATCTTGTCACAGTATTGTGAAGTGCTTTGTTGTGCTGTGTCAAAGCTTGTGTCAGATGACAACTGAAAATTAAAGCTGAATGATTATCAGAGCAGTTAGCTCTGTCCCAAATTCATGCAACATTCTATACTTTATATACTACAAACCCATCACTGCAGTACTGCTTTATCTGCAGCGTTTACTTATATTTGAACTTATTTTTTCTCACTATTCATTTGAATATTTCCTTTCACTGTGGAAAATAAAGTCCATGGACATCACACTCAAAAATCAGCTGAGTAGTATTTACTGTGTATTCTACAGACTTCTCCTTTCACTTCAGTGACCTCTGACCTCCAGATGTTTTGAGCCAGTTCAAGTGTTGAAACAGCTGCAGTGACCAGTCCGCTAAAACATAAACTGTGAAGTTATAAGATGAATGAGTTTAAATGTCATCACTAACCACTACAGTGTCTTCCTGACCTGACTGACTCCGGCCTCCTGCGTCTCTTCTGTCACAGTGCTGTTTGTCTGCTGCTCCCCTGACGTCTTCAGGAAGCTGATGGTTCAGTTCCGGCAGGCCGATCTTCCTCACGAGCAGTACGTCTTCTTCTACATCGACGTGTTCGGAGACAGCCTGAACTCCAAGAACAGACAGCCGTGGGCGCGTGGAGACGAGGATGACGCCATCGCTAAGGAGGCCTTCCAGGTACGGCGTTTATCTCCAAACACACTCTTTGACTCTGGACGCTGTTTCCATCCCGCCTTGTTTAAAGGAATAGTTCAACATTTCAACATTTCATGTTTCACATTTCCAGCTTTAGAGACGCTGCTAGGTGGATTTTTGATCAGAGCCACACTAGCTGTTTCCCTCTGCTTCCAGTCTTTATGCCAAACTAATCTAAGCTAACCACCTCCAACTCCAACTTCATATTATTGCACAATCATGAGGTTGATATCCATCTTCTCATCTCGCTCTCAACAAGAAAAATAAACAGATATTTAAGGTCTAAACCGGTCTGAACCAGGTCCAGATCAGGAAGCTCTCACGTGAGTCGTATGTTCTGTTCTAAAGACGCTGACTGCATTTATATAATAATGATAATAATAATAAACTTGTTTAAAGGATCATTTACAGCACTTTTCTAGTCTTAACACTACAGGTCACATTTTTCATTAGTTCTATATTATCAGAAATTGTCTGCAGACGTCCTCCAGCAGTCTCTCCTCTGCAGCGTCTGTGTGATGTCGTTTCTTCCTTTTGTTGGTCTGAAACTGAACATGAGCTCGATGTGACGCACAGACTTTAACTGCTTAAACATTCATTCATTTCATTTTATCACTGATTGTGTAACAGCAGATATTTTTTCATCCATCACATTGTCCCACCACTGATCTCCGTCTTATTCTAAATCACAGCGAGTGTGAACTCTGTTATAACCAGTACTGTGTGTTGCTAAACACACAGTACCCCCAAACTCCTCCTCCCACCTGTCAGCTCTGTAGCATCTGAGAGTCTGACGTCAGCCGGTTACAGAACCTGATTTCCCAGACCCCTCTCCTCCTTCATCTCCATCTCTTTTATACTCAAAATTGGCTTTATTCTTTACTGACCCTTCTATACACACACATACACACACACATACACACACACACACACACACACACACACACACACACACACACACACACACACACACAGAATCCGCTCCCCAGAGAAATTATTGTCTGCTTCTGTTTTTCTGAGGTGTTAAAGATCCGTGTCGAGCAGATGACAAATTGTATTTGTTTTCCTCCTCCTCCTCTCCGTCTTTCTTTCTTTCTCTTTTTGTTATGAGGACTTTAATTTTCTCCCTGCAGCTGCACAGAGAGCGACAGGAAAACACTTCACACACATTCAGAACTATCACAGCAGATTTTTATAGACATGTTTCTTGAGGTGACACCAAACTGACTCGAGGTTCAGAGGTAAATCAGAAATCATCACGACTCAACACTCGACGGTGCAATGACTCAAAACTCTTCAAATCTCACTCTGTGATAAAATGCAGTGTCCTCATATTTAGACTAACTCAATAGTTAGCTGCAGCAGGTGGAGGCGAGTGAGAGTGCAGCCAGGTGAAGCGCCGCCCGTCTGGGTAAACACAGATGTAATAAGTGGAAGGAGGGGCTGCGGCGCTGTGGCGTGGATGAGCGCTCACCGAGACCAAAGACAACAGAGGAGCTGCACTCACACAACATGAGAGTGTTTGGACAGGAAACAGCTGGTTCAGCTGCTTTCTCGCAGTTTGACTGATTCTCTCCAGACAAACTCGTTTTCATTCTAATTTTCCTTTTAATTATTTCAATTAACAGCTGACTCTGAGCTCGGCGATGAGACTGAAGGGAAATCAAACACTTCCAAACCGACTTCATTTAATTGACTGGTTCTCAGACTGCAGGGGGATCACTGACGCTCTCCAAATTCATCATGGATCCTTTTTTATTAATTAGCTGCTTCCTCATCAATGTTAATCATTGATACAAAATTGTGGTGTGAACTTTTTTCAGACTAAATTCAACTAAATGAAAAAGTTTAAAGGGAAGGATTCACTGGTGTTCAAGCATTTTCTTCTTTTAGTGTTGATCAATTTATAAAAAACATGATTTTGTTAATTAATGCTTCCAAAATAAGAGCGTTATCAAATTAGCACCTGGCTTCACTGCTTTTCTGTGCTGAACTGTTGATGACAGACATTCATCTTTCTGTCCACCACTCAAAGATTCTGTGAAGGAATACCGAGGGAATATAGATAATAATAATTACTTCAGTTAGTCATCAGTGCGGCAGGATATCACCGTGGTAACCACCTGACCCGACAGGTGAACAAACGAGCTGATGAAGCCTCATGGAAAAGAAAGACTAATACGTCTTAATCTTTTTCCCCTAGAGTTTGTTGTCATTCTTTCCACTGACAATACAAGACGAAAACAAGACAAAGTACAAGTTTTACCAAGATGAGTAAAGTGTAACGATCTGCCTCATTTCATTAAAAGAATAAAAAGGTCTAATAAAGTGATAATGTCACAGGAAAAAGACGGAGTCCACCTTCACCACTAGTGGTAGAAGTCGAGACGAATGCCGTGCTGTGATTGGTCAGTGTTCAGGGCCTCATATGACACAGTAACCATCTCAAAAATATTTATTTATTCATTTTATTTGTTTGGATCCTCATCAGCCACTAATGAGGTAGAGCTGCTGCTGCTGCGGTCCCACTCAAGTAAACATGACATCAATACAAAACCACGAAGAAGAAAATCACCTCAAATACAAACAACAGTAAAACTACGAACAACGATAATAACAACAACGGGTTCCACGCTTCATCTAAAGTAAACCTGAAACATTTGCTGCCGCTCTAAAAACAATGTTACCTCTAAAATACAGTGACTGAAGAATAAAATGAGGATAAAATAAATAACCTACAAGTTCCTCATAAGTGTTGTGTAAATGCAGATATGTATCTCTTCATCATCATCATCATCATCATCATCAGGCAAAAAGTTCTAGATTTATAATCAAACGGAGCATCAGGTTTGAGCTGATGATAATATCAACCACCTGCTTCAGAGCAACAAACACTTCCTGTTTCCCTTCCAAAGCACTTTTTCCTCTCATTTAACTCTGTTCATTTAATTCAACATTCATGATGAACAACATGTTAACTTGTTCAGAATGGAAAACTTACAGACTTACATTATATAAGTTTATAAAACCCAGGTTATTGTTTTGAAATCCTCCACTTCCTGTTTTCAGAGTGTGAAGATCCTGACGTACCGAGAGCCTCAGAACCGCGAGTACAGACAGTTCGTCAGCAACCTGAAGACGGACGCCAAGAAAATGTTCAACTACACCATCGGAGACACGCTGGTGAGAAGTGTGTGTGTGTGTGTGTGTGTGCGTGTGCGTGTGCGTGTGCGTGTGTGTGTGTGTGGTCTGGACGCACATTTAAAGGTGCCATGAGATGAATATATACTATATAATATCTGTGTTCCTTGGTGGACAAAGACAAATATGGTTCAATAAAAACAGAGGAAATTGGGTCATTAACAATAACGAACCTGATCATTTCAACAGGGGAAAATATCAACAATGTACAGATGAAAAAAAAAGACATTGTTATGCAAATGAGTAATTAGCACCGTGAGAGCAGCTGGACCGAGACGGCTCAGTGTAGAGAAGCTAATTCAGTCTGCTGATCTTATCCTATCACTGTCACACACACACACACACACACACACACACACACACATACACACACACACGCACACAGAGGCAGAGATGCTGCTAACTGCTGCTGATGTTATCACCTGGAGTAAAGACGACAGGCCGTAAAATAATAACAGCCCTTCACAATAAAACCCTGCAGAGGAGGTGAGACGCATCGTTCTCCATTGTTCACATTTTACTGTGTTAAACACAAAGAGCAGGTGGGAAATATTTAACAGCTGGATTCATCAGTGTGAGGGGTTGTGAAGTAAAAGTCACGGGACACTCACAGTGTTCGACATCACATCTTCAAGCAGCTCCATCACAGGTCCAGTCCTTTCATCAACCACATCAGCACAGACACTTTATTATTATTATTATTATTATTATTATTATTATTATTATTATTATTATTATTATGTTACATATAAACAACACTGTGTTCACCTGTGGTTTTTTCTACAGACAGCAGGTCTCTGAGTTCAGACATGTTTAAACCTCACAGCTCCTCTGATAGAGCCCTGACAGACGAGGTGTGTGTGTGTGTGTGTGTGTGTGTGTGTGTGTGTGTGTGTGTGTGTGTGTGTGTGCGTGCGTTCGTGCCTGCGTGCGTACGTGTGTGTGAAATGTCAAACACATTACTGACAGTTTAAAGTCTAAGCTTTGAAACAACACACAGAAACCAGGGGCCAGATGCGCCAATGAACATGTGCTCAGCTCACATATATACACAACAAAGCAGTCACCGAGCCCGCCATCCAAACCTTGCAGGACTTGGTTTCTCTGAGTGTTTTACCTGAAATATGTTATATTTTTATTGGATCACTCAAGAAACGGTCACCTTCCAGGATGACTCCTGCGTTTCTTTTTCCTTTTGATGGATTGAATCAGCAGGTTCCTCCTGTGTGTCGTCTCTGTGCTGCGTCCAAGCTGCTACATGTGAACTGCAGTCACTTCCCCTGATGCTGCGAGGCGTCCAAACGTATCAGGGGGCTGCAGTTTGTCCCTTATCAGCCACCATATGTGTGTGTGTTAAGTTGGCAGGTTGTCTGGCAGCTCTGTGAAGCCAGCTAATCAGCAGCAGACAGACAGCTGAGGGACACTAATGTAGTTCACACACACGCAAACGCACACACACACACACACACACACACACACACACACACACACACACACACACACACACACACACACACGTGGAGTAACAGCATACAACAAAAAGGAGAAAAGAAACGCAGATGGCTGTAAAGACAAAAAATGACATGATGTCACACTTTATGAGGCACTTTACTTTTATTGCCGACCTTTGACCTCTGTGCAGTGTGATATTCATCAGACGCTGTTTCTCGCCCTGAAAGAAGCCCTCTCTCCTTTATTTAGTTTTCCTCTTTGGAGAAAGTCATGAGAAGAATCTGTTTCTGGTTGTCGTGGTTTGTTTTCTGTGTTCTGGTGTTTTTCTGTCTCTCGTCCGTCTCTCCAGACCGTCCTCATGAAACCTATTCAGACGATCGACCAGCATGTCATTTCCAGCCGTTTATTTTTAAACCATTAACCGGAGCTTCATGCTGTTCTCTCACAGCTCCAGGCCGGAGAATATAGATCATTTAAGCTCTGAGTTTACCCAGTGTCGTCGGCCAGATAAAGACCCATCGCTGTGCTCAGGTCACGAGGTCAGATCTGAACTGCGGGGAACGTTGAGATTTTTGGGAATATCAGATCAGAAGGTTGATTTTCAATCCAAATCAATCAATCCTTTATCCTCTCTGAATCAAAGGCCCAGAGTACGTTCCTGCTGTTTATTCAAACTCTCCAGCAACACCCCGATCACCATCATTACAGGCGGCCGCTATCAGAGGAAAATCAACTCATGATTACGCATAATCCTCTCTAAGTGAAGCGCTCGGTTCTTCCAGTGTAACGGAGTGGCAGCAGTAGCAGCTGGTGACGATCCTCGTTTCAAATGCAATTAAAGTGCAATCAGTGAGTTTGAGGCTTTAACAGCAGCAGTCAACTGTGTTCACCACCAAGCAGGAAGTGGGAACCATGATGTTCTGTGTGTCTGTGTGTGTCTCTGTGTGTGTCTCTGTGTGTGTCTCTGTGTGTCTCTGTGTGTGTCTGTGTGTCTGTGTGTCTCTGTGTGTGTCTGTGTGTGTGTCTCTGTGTGTGTCTCTGTGTGTGTCTCTGTGTGTGTCTGTGTGTGTCTCTGTGTGTGTGTCTCTGTGTGTGTCTCTGTGTGTCTCTCTGTGTGTCTCTGTGTGTCTCTGTGTCTGTGTGTGTGTGTGTCTCTGTGTGTCTCTGTGTGTCTCTGTGTGTCTCTGTGTGTCTCTGTGTGTGTCTCTGTGTGTCTCTGTGTGTGTCTCTGTGTGTGTGTCTCTGTGTGTGTGTCTCTGTGTGTGTCTCTGTGTGTCTCTGTGTGTCTCTGTGTGTGTCTCTGTGTGTGTGTCTCTGTGTGTGTCTGTTTGTGTGTCTCTGTGTGTCTCTCTGTGTGTGTCTCTGTGTGTCTCTGTGTGTGTGTGTGTGTCTCTGTGTGTCTGTGTGTGTCTCTGTGTGTGTCTCTCTGTGTGTCTCTGTGTGTGTCTCTGTGTGTGTCTCTGTGTGTGTCTCTGTGTGTGTCTCTGTGTGTGTCTCTGTGTGTGTCTCTGTGTGTGTCTCTGTGTGTGTCTCTGTGTGTGTCTCTGTGTGTGTCTCTGTGTGTGTCTCTGTGTGTGTCTCTGTGTGTGTCTCTGTGTGTGTCTCTGTGTGTGTCTCTGTGTGTGTCTGTGTGTGTGTCTCTGTGTGTGTCTCTGTGTGTGTCTCTGTGTGTGTCTCTGTGTGTGTCTCTGTGTGTGTGTGCTCTTCTGATGATCAAGATCTTCAAAGGGAAAATGAGAGAAAATAAAAAAGTATGAGCTGCAGAGAAAGTGAATGAATGACAGAGAAAGAAGAATAAAGTGTGTTCTGTGTTCTGCTGTCTGTCTGCTAGATGAACATCATAGCCGGAGGTTTCTACGACGGTCTGATGCTCTACACCCACGCTCTGAATGAGAGCATGTCTGCGTCCGGCGGTCGACCTCCGGGCAAAGTCGTCACCAAGAGGATGTGGAATCGAACCTTTCACGGTCAGTGAAACGTTTTTACGTGATTTTTACGAAGCTGTGTGTCGTGTGGAAGTCCAGGTTGTTGTTTCTGGATTAGCTGCTGGACCGTGTCTTGAGTTTGTGTGAAAGGTGGTAACATAAAGTATGTAACTACGAGTTAGCAAGCTACGTAGCTTAGCTGCTAACCAGTCAATAATTTACTCCTGAATACAACTTTATTGATATAGTGTATCAGGTCTGTGATCAGGAGCAGCATGATACCATTATAATTATCTTTTTGAAATATGGATGTGTGTTTTATTGAGTCCTCCTCACCTCTGGAACCAGATGTTGGTCCTTGGGGTTTTGTAGAACGATAGTTTCCTCCGTGTTCTGTTGAGGTGGTTTCAGTAGATCTCCGGCGTGAATTCACAAAGTTCAAAAACTCTGTGAGCAAATCCACAGATTCCATTGAAATGAACAGATTTAGGTTTGATATTTTGCTGTTAATAAACGCCGGTGTGATCCGGTCTGAAGACCTGCAGGTGGTCGTCTGCTGGACTCTGAGGGTCAGCTGGAGGTTCTGGTTCCAAGGTGGTGACAGAAGCAGAAAGTAAAGGTTTAGCTCTCTGTTTGCTGGTTGTTCATGTCCCAGTGTCTCTGTGTGTCAGAGGGTAAATCCACCTGAACTCACATGGAGCTGGAAACTGTTCTTTGAGGTTTCACATCTGCTGCACATCTGGAAACAGCTCAGTCAGTGACATCACAGCTGGAGTTGTAGAGTCCCTGCTGTGAGACTGTTGGGTGTGAGAAAGCAGTGATGTGGATGTTGAACATCTGAAGTTTCATTTACTTTGTTTTTGGGTTTAATTTGGATTAAACCCAAAAACACAATCGTTTTTATTTATTTAAGTTTCTTCAGAGCAGCAGCCATTTTGTTTTCAGGTTGTCCGTCTGTCTCCTTCTCGTGGACACAACATCTCAGAAACACCTCGACGGAACTTCTTACAGTTTGGCACAAACATTCACTTGGACTCAAGGATGAACTGATCAGGATTTGTTGGCCAAAGGTCAAGGTCACTGTGATCTTACAAAACATAGTTTTGGCCTAGTGAACGTGATATCTCTGTAACGCCTTGAAGGAATCCCTTCACAATTTGGTAAAAACTTTCCCCTGGACTCAAGGACAAACTTAGATTTCAGATTCAGTGTGACTTAGAAAATGCTTTTTAACCATTACTCAAGACTTCACACAAATGGTTAATATTTTATATGACTCTAGTTTTTACTTTCACAATCTGCGTCTGTATTTAATAATAATGAATTCTCACATCAGAGTTTTTAGCATCACTTTAATATCTGACATTACTTTGACCCGAGGTTCTGAGGTCTCTGATAAATCTGGACCTTGAACCTCAGACCCGACCCTCTGGTGTCGTCGGCTTCTGTCCGTCTCATTGTGCAGTTACTTCCCCTCTGTGGAGCGCTTATCTTACAGCTCATATCTGTAACGCTGCACCCTCAACCTGATGCCAGTTTTCTTTGCAACCTTTCAAGAATGTACAGTATGTTCTACTCTGATATCAGCGCAGCAGGAAGTCAAAGCTCATTTGTCTGCAGCTGTTAAAAACACAGAGGCAGAGTAAGCCACAGCGGGAACCTGGTGATTCAAAGGCCGAACAACATGTAGATACAGTCAGGACCGAGGAGTCAGTGAAACGCTGCAGAGAGAAAGGTCGAATCTGAACTTTCCTTTTCAACCACATTCGTCCCACTGCTAAGCCAGAGGTTTTTTGGCCAGTAGCAGTGATTCTAGGCGTCACCTGTCTGAGCTGCTGTCGTGACAATCAGGATTTCTTTGTGTTGAAATATGAAATAAAGGAGCATTAAATAAATCTGTGAGTCACAGTAACAACTGATGTTTTTAATGGTTGTGCGTTGGTCTGGAGGTCTGTGTGCTGATGGGTTTTTGTGGTGTATAGTGTGCAGTGTTTTGAATGGTGAACTGAATGTACTGGTTTCTAACTGTAAAGGTGGACAGGTGAGTCGATCTGTTTTCATCTTCAACGTGACGGTGTTTAACATCCCCGACAACCTCCACGTCTCATTCAGACACTCGTTAGCAACCGAGACGTAAAAAAGCTTCAGGGCTGGAGTATTTACTGAAGTATTTTACATTGTAGAATAAAACGTGAAAATGTCTTGAGCTTGTGTTAAACACAGACCTGGGTTCAGTCATCTGACCAAAACCCCAGAGACTTCAGTCTGTTCGGGGACTGGTGCTGCTGGAACCAGTTCCTGTGAACGTCGGCTGGGTCTCAACATCAGCAACGAATGTGGAACGACACATCGAGTCGTAGCATCCGACCAGTCCTTTGAATTATACACACATAAAACATGTACTCCCATTGGTTTGTCTTGGCTTTTAGGAGTCATCTCTGTCAGTGATTGTGTTGTATTTCACAGTTATTCATGTAGTTTGTGAAGTGGCAGCGACTGAGGGCTGAGGATGGATGAGTAAGAGGAGGTTCATTTCCATCTGTGTCTAGCTCCTGTGAAGCGTTTATTCTGGGCTAAGACTGTATGTTTTATCTATCTGTTATCCCCCGATTCATAGTTTAGACTTTCTACAAACCCTGATCACATCTGTCCATTTATAAATTCAGCTAATTTGTATTCACACGAAAAAAAGCTAAATCCTCAAAATGCTTAAAAGAAAGTAGAAAGGCGGCGTCAAGAGAAAACAAAGACACAAAAGCAGAATATGGAGCCTCGGGTGGATGGAAGGAACAGACAGTATTGTCTGTCTGTTTATTTCTGTCACACAGTGTGAGTCCTGACTGATGTCACACAGAAATGTGTCATCATTACTTGTTCAGGTTGTTAATTAGACACCATGACTCCCATCAAGCTGAATGTCAAAAGTCGCCTCGATTCTAAAGCAGATCAGGAGATTCAGGACCAGAATCAGGTGTAATTCATTAACCACTGTTTGAACCCGGGGTGTTGTACTGTAGGTTTTGCTAATTGTCAAGAGCTTGAAGCTAAATTTGTGACAAAAACATGATATTTCACGTCTGATATCTGTAAGTTATTGTGATGAATAGTTTTTTTATTTAACTCAATTTCTTAAGTTTAGTCTTTGAGTTTTTCTTCATCATTACTTGTTCAGGTTGTTAATTAGACACCATGACTCCCATCAAGCTGAATGTCAAAAGTCGCCGGATTCTAAAGCAGATCAGGAGATTTCAGGACCAGAATAGGTGTAATTCATTAACCACTGTTTGAACCCGGGTGTTGTACTGTAGGTTTTTGCTAATTGTCAAGAGCTTGAAGCTAAATTTTGTGACAAAACATGA